TGAACCTTAAGAAAAACGCAGGAATTGGATGGGAGAGATGGACTCAAAGGAAAGTTATCAAGAGGTTGAAGCTCTTACTAAATTTCCTCCAAAATCTCTATAGAATTATCCATTCTACAAGAATTTCAAAGGATTAGATAGGATTCAATCCTTTGTTTTAAAGGATTTCTTAGGAAATTTTCCTATAAGACTAAAATTCTCTAAAATTTGTATGTTTTTTCTCCGAATCAAAGAGGCCCTTAGTTGTCTGCGCTGACATCCAATCAGTGCAAATAAAATTGGCATGGGTACATTCATCGATCGCTCGAATTAATCTGCGTCGACCGACGTCGACTTACTTGCATTGTTGGCTTGTTGCAGTGTTTGTTTCGTGCTACCAATCGAGTGCTAGCTGCACTGCATCCATCTTGATCGGCTATCACCGTATCACGCAGCGCCCATCCCCGGTCGCTTTTCAGTGTCAACGGTCAACCGGTGTATATATAGACGTGCCAGAAAGGCCAATGAATAATAACCGCTGTGAGAAACCGTTTGGATCTGTTAGAAAAAGGCAACAACTACTACTAGATAGTCCCTCCGGGCTGATAATACTCATCGTTTTGAACAAGGGTGAGGTCAAACTTTAGAATCTTTGATTATCAATCATTTTCAAAATATTTCTCTTTCAAATATGATGACTATATATATATATTTATATATATATATTGGTCTTAAAAAGTACTTTAATAAGATCATATATTGTTAACCCTTTTATACATATTATAATAAAAAATAATGGTTAAAGTTGTTTTTTTAATTGGAGACCATGCCCTTGTTCAAAACGATAAGTATTATCAACCTGGAGGGAGTACTACTCGTAGGATTTACTCCCTCGCTCTATCTCAAACCCTTAATGCGAGATCGATTAATCCCCATGAGAAATGGATTAGAGGGAATTTATTCTACACCTATTGTGATGTGCAATTATTCCCCCTCAATCCCCTTGAAATTAAACAAGGCCTTAAAGAAGATTTTAAGAACAGAAACCATAATGCCTTTAATTAATGTGAAAGTTTTATTGTTTGATAGGTAGGTCAGGGGTATTAAAGTAATGAAATTTCTCGTTTTATGGATTGGTGTTAGGTAAGAAGGTAGAAGTTGGTTTATTTTGAGGCAAATTTCAAACTCTAAAAGTTGCTTTATTTTGGAACGGAGGGAATAGTTAGTTACAACGTCTTCAATAACGGCGATTGATGTGCATGTTCGGCTTGGTAAAAGGATACATGAGCACTCCCAGTGAAAATCTTGCCTTCAGCTATGTTAGTTCATCATTTATGTAGGAAATATTTAACTTTTTCCACTTTATGAGAAAGAGTGTTGTTGTGAAAGAGATTAGACCGATCTGATAAAGAGTGGAAAAAAGTTTAAAAAAAGTGTAATTATTTGCCTCCTCTACTCTCTTTTATGTACCTTGATCAATGAGTTTGGTCTCATCGAATTCAACTATACCAAGTCTAGGGGGTTGTTTGGTTAGTGGCTAACATTGCCAAATCACAATTAAGGTAAGTTGTGGCTTGCTACAAAAGGCGCGGCGTCAGGGCAGGGAGGAGCGCGTGGGATGGGCCGCGCGATCTTTTTTCTTGCGGGGATGATAGAAAACGGGATATTTCTGTTGGTAGTTTAATGGAAAGGCTCACTTTTAATTTTTGGGAATTAAATTTAGGGTTTCTCTTGGAACGATGAGTTTTTTCAATTCCTATTTTCATTCTAGAAAACCCAATAACAAAATTGTGGGAATGGATTATTCTCATTTTCTTGATGATGCTATTAGGTCAAATGAACTTTTGATATGAGATGTTTATGGGATGGTGGGAGTACACTATAAGCTTAGGCTGTGTTTAGTTTGTGTGCCAAAATTTTTTGAAGTATACGGACACACATCCGAAGTATTAAACGTAGACTAATAACAAAACAAATTACAAATTCCGCCTATAAACTGTGATACGAATCTATTAAGCCTAATTAATTCGTCATTAGCAAATATTTACTGTAGCACCATATTGTTAAATCATGGCATAATTAGGCTCAAAAGATTCGTCTCGCGATTTACATGCAAACTGTGCAATTGGCTCTTTTTTGTCCACATTAAATGCTCTATGCATATGTCCAAATATTTGATGTGACGGAAAAAGTTGAAAGTTTGAAGAAAAAATTTTGAATCTAAACACAACCTTGATGGTCCATTACTGCCCCCAGACATAGCTTCGATGGTTTCGACCCGATCAAATCATGATTGGACCCACCCACTAACCTGCCACAACTGTCATCCTTTCTTGAAACTATGTTAGCTGCTACTCCCTCTGTCCCAAAAAAAAAGGCCATGGGTTTCCGTGTCCAACTTTGACTGTCCGTTTTATATGAAATTTTTTTATAATTCGTATTTTCATTGTTGTTAGATGATAAAACATGATTAATATTTTATGCGTGACTTGTCTTTTTAATTTTTTTCATAATTTTTTCAAATAAGACAGACGGTCAAACATTGGACACAAAAACCAGGGTTTGTCTTTTTTTGGACGGAGGGAGTACAGAGTACTCCCAGGTTGTCCATTACTGCCCCCAGACGTAGCTTCGATGGTTTCGACCCGGTCAAATCATGATTGGACCCACCCACTAACCTGCTACAACTGTCATCCTTTCTTGAAACTATGTTAGCTGCTACGAAGTACTCCCTCCGAAAAAAAAATCAATCTAGGAGAGGATGTGATCCCTCCTAGGACAACGAATCTAGACTACCCTTTATCCAGATTCATTGTCCTAGTGTTGACGCGGAAAACATGCACTGGTCTGAGAGATCTGCTTAACTTTAATGCACGTCCAAAAGAATTGCCTTCGGATTCTGAGCGTGCCAGCTGGTTTGATCCTGCAACCAACAAGATAGAAAAAAGGACAAAGAGTTAAATCCATCAACGATAGCTGATCGGTAGGATTGCCGATGACGTATCGTATGAGGCCATGCCGACGTAACTTGCGTCAGATCGGCAGAGGCAAATAAAAACTTGGAGATTGTTCGGTATACTTGATCGGCTGTAGATGTTAGCGATGCGTAATCCATCAAATGGGACATATTTAGATAGGGTGATTGGGATAGATCGGTCACCGCGTTGAGATAGTATAAATTACACAATATCTAAATGCGTCCTAAAGTAGGGATTATGTATGATGCTAGCATAGCCGATGGGGTAAACCTAACGCGTATCGTCTAATACTTCGATACCACCTTATACCAAGATACCAGCATAGATGAAATATATAAAACTGAAACCAATCTAGCAAGCCTAGCCTGGCCAAACCCTAGCGCGGCCGCCACGTCGATCTTCCTCCCATGCGTTCCTCCTCTAATTGATTGCAAAAATCGATTCCCACTACCCCTCATTATTTTCCTTATGATTTTTCCTTTTAATTATGCTTTAATTTACCGGATCTAATTACCATTTAAAATTCACCGTTTTTATTCCGAGTTTTATAGATTCACTCAGATTTTGATATTTCAAAGAGAGGTAGGCTAAGCAGAGAGATAGCGGGCTAGGCTGGGACTGAAAAGGAAGGAATAAATGAGCTTTTGGCCTAAAACAAAGCGTATAATGTGTGCGATCCAAAAATGTTTTTATACGTTGCAACACTTTTTTTAGGACACGGTACTTATCATGTTCCATAACTTTGAAATTTTTGAAAATATATATTGAGTTAATCTTAATTTTTGGCCTGAAGTGGTTCGCCAATTGCTTTGAGATACAGGCATGTATTGAGTTGCCCTGCACCAAAAAGATTGTATTTACATAATAGAACAATATATTAAACCACATGTTTATACAACAATCATACCTCTGCATCTAGTACAATCATATGTATACCATAGAAATCATCAGCCATTGTAGGATTAACCGCCTCGCATAGCCTAATAGCTTCTACTTTGATTCTCCACCTATCGTTCTTTGGTGTTAATGCAGTATTCAAATTGCCCGGTGCCATGTTATATGCAGATGATTAGTATTGCATATAGTTACTAAACAAATTTGACAGAGAATTGCATACGTGTTTATGTTATTTTATAGAACTAATTAATACAAAACATCATAATTGTGTTCTTTGGTAGGTGCAAGGTTACTTTTTTGTGCTGAAAAAGAATGTGACAAAACAGTATACATAGATGCAACATAATGTAGATGTAACTAATACAGGATATCGTAATTGTGTTCTTTCGTAGGTGCAATTTTAGTTTCTTCTGCTGAAAATATTATGACAAAACTGTATAAATGCTTATGTTATTTCCTAGTTGCAAGATCATGTAGCCCTAATTAATAGAAGATGGCATGATTGTGTTCTTATGCCAAAGATGAGTCGCTGGAATTGACTAATGTCGCAAGGTGCCGCAGACCTATTCTGCTCCGTCCGCCGGAATTGACTAATGTCCCAAGATCGTGTTGCTGGCGGGGTGTATGTATATATATATATATATATATATATATATATATGTATGTAAGCCTTAGGAATATTGCCTCACGTGTATAGAACTAATTTTTGGTGTAATTAACAATCTTGCCTCGTGAAACTAATCTTGCCATATGTAATTTAATTTATTTTGACTGGATATGTAATTTAAATTTTGCTTTGAGACATTTGAAATCTTGCCTCACGTACACAATTATAGAATCTCTTGGTTCACGACAAATATATGGGCTGCACGTGCCTAAAATTTGCTTTGAGATTGATTTTAAATCTTGCCTTACGTACATATATTTATGGGACTAATCTTTGTTAGTCAATTATGAAACTATAATCTTCGTTGGTTTAAGTTTCACGATAAATCCATGTATTGCACGCGTCGGCCCTAGGAGGTTCTCAACTTCTCTCTGTTACGCCACGTGGCAATACAAGAACGTTTTGAGAGAGTCACATGGCAATTTAAGAGCGTTTGTAGAGAGTTTAATGGACTTTTAGTATATAATAGAAGATAGATAGATAGATAAATTACCTTTTAGTTTCAATTGACTGATGTGTGGTCCTCTTTCCTCCTTGACTTCGTGGATGGATCGAGAGACCAGTATGCAATAATAGATACACGATCATAGGAACACCTGGGCCGACATCTGTCGATGCAATCAACGACTCCTCTCTTGATGCAGTATCAAACTATCAATTATTAACGAGATATCCCAGTTTCTAGTTTATAGGACATGCACACTAAACACACCAGCTACATATACGGTCGCTTGGTACCAGGCTACCAGCTAGACGTACCATATCAGCACTGTCGTCCGTCGACTCGTCCTCAGGGAGAAAAAAATTAAGTGTCATTACCAGACAATCGACTTTTCCTGACGAGAAAAATCAATCTTAGCCATCGGCCCCTGGCACCTGCAATGGCATAGGTGAGGAATAGTTAATCTGTCCTCAAGGGATATAAGCGGGCACCGATCAATCAATTATATATATACAATAATGCAACAAACTGTATTTGCATTGGTGGTACCACTTACAGAATATTAACACAGTGAAATACTATGCATATGCCACACGATGTTCTTCATTCAGTAAGTGGCCGCCATTGATGATTATTGGCCTGTCTCTCAAGAAGACAGAAGTACTCGAATGGGGTTGATGAGTGGCCAAAACTGAGGCATCAAATGTAACATACCTGGAATTTTGAAGTAAAAAAAAAAGAAACAAAGAAAAGAAAATAAAGAAATAATTAGTAAATTTTTTATTTTGATTTTGTCTCTGTCTTTTGAATTCATTTTGGTGTTGTTAGATTGTCCATGCATCTCATGATGTATTTGCATAGATATAAACAAATAGGTGGAGAGGATTGACAAAAAAAGAATTTGTTTGATAAACATTAGGCACCTTGAATAATGTACAGGAAAGGTTTAAATTTATAATTCAGTGTTGCGCGTCAGTTACAAATGTGAAAAACATTCACAATTAATTAAAAATATAAAAAAGCAAGGTTTCTTTGAATCTTCAAAAATAAACAACCTTGAGAAGAATCTCAAACACTCACCAAATGAAGTTCATGACCACACAAACTTCCAGTAATATTTGCACAAGCCTTTGAGCGGTGTAGCATATCCGAAAAACAATAATCAAACTCTCAGCCTTCTCCAAAATTTCCAGAAAATTCATCCTCACCTCTCCTCATGTCCTCTCGGGAAACTGTTTTAATAGCTCGAATGGACGTCCACCCGTTTATTGCATGTCATCTAAATGGTTATGAAAAAAATTGAAAAAATATGAACAAGATAGATAATATGTAGTATATCAATCCACAAACATGCAAGTTAAAATTCAATTTCTACATGTTGTAACAAAAATAATAAACAAAACTTAAATTACTATATGTATATTTACAATTAAATTTGTTATTTTTGTTACAACTTATAGAAGTTGAATTTGAACTTGTATATTTGTGGAGTGATATATTACATATTGATCTATCTTATCAATTTTTTTTGAAAATTTTTCATAACCATCTAGTTAACATGCAATAAACGGATGGACGTCCACTCGAGCAATTAGAATGCATCTCCCTGTCCTCTCCCTATCTCTCTCTGACCGGTGAGCCCAGGAGCTCTGGACCCCACATGCCAACCGCACCAGTGCCCCATCTCTCCCTCTCCTTCCTTTGAAATCCTTTCTCTCTCCCTCCCTCCTTGCAGGCATTTCAACAAGCACTTGGCGTGCAGGCTGAGCCGATGAGCACAACAAGCCGTGGCAAAAAGCCGTGTCTGCGCCCAATGCTGCAAAAGCCACTGATCCGCGCCTGTGAAGCCGACGCCGCCCTACCCGAGGCCTGTCGTGGTCGCCGTTGATCTCGCCGTTCGCCGTGTGTCACGATCCCACATGAATCCCACTGGTGAACACAAGCACAGGAGCAATATATCCTCTCCAACTCTGTATATTAAGTTCAGGGATACAAATTGGAAGAACTAGCAGCAGAGATTGGGAAGAGAAGCAGGGGGTAAAGGGAATCAGAGAAACACAGAGTAGGGGATTAGAGGAGAAATCAAGAGGAGGAAGAAGAGGCCACAGCCATCAGATTCTAATTTATCGATGCCTTCTCTCACTACCACTGTTGGTATTTGTACTGCTTGGTTGCTTGCACCTTCAGTATGTGAGCTGGGCCAAGCCCATTCCTCCAGCAGCCCATGCAGCCCACCAGATACATGACACCGTGGCCAACCAACACCCCGCCCCTCTGCCCGAAGCGACGAGACGCGATGAGCCCGACCGCCTCCGCCTCTTCTCCGCAAATCTAACGCCGAAACATGCTCTCCTCTCCTATCGGGCGTCCGTGGAGCAATTCAGATCCTCTCCTATATGGTCAGTCAACAAAACATTGGAACCTTGGATACAAGGTGACAATAACTTAATTAGTCAAAGTAACCTTCCTAATCTGTAGTGCGACAAATTATGTCAATGTACGCTAGTACTACAAATTAACCAAACATTAACAACCCTGAGTCACTAAGTACCGGCAGCTACTCGATCGATCTATCACCAAAAACAACGCCGCGACGCGCGTTGCTATTATTAGCCAAGTGCATGTGTGGATATTTCGCAGCAGCAAACACGTACGCAGTCTCAGTCACGCACCAACAAAACGCACGTACGCTAGCAGCTGGCTAGCACATTGTTCATCGCTTGTTGAGTAGCCCCGGCTCCCTGTTACTACCTCCATATTTTAATATATGACGCTATTGATTTTTTTTAATGTTTGATCATTCGTCTTATTCAAAAAATTTATGTAATTATCATTTATTTTAATGTGATTTGATTCATCATCAAATGTTCTTTAAGTATGACATAAATATTTTTATATTTACACAAAAATTTTGAATAAAACAAAGGTCAAACATTGATCAAAAGGTCAACGGTATCATACATTAAAATATGGATAGTACTTCGTTTCGTATTATGAAATTTTTTAGCATTATCCATATTTATATATATATGTCTAGATTCATTAATATCATTGTCTAGAAAATCTTCTAATATGAAGATAGGAGTAATATTTGGTTCCTGTTAATTAATCAGCCGCTCGGAGCACCAACCGATCTGTTTTGGAGTATCCACCACCACCAACGAATATATAAGCAGCACGTGTAGTACATGCAAGGTAGACCGGCCGGCTAAACCGTCGACCTGTGGGGCATATATGCAGCCACACCCATGATTCCATTGATTCCATTCGGTTAAGAAATTAATTAGACGACTAATTATAGTTAGCGTACGTTTGCAAGTACTCCGTACTGCTATTATACACGCTGGTATTGATGGACCGATCGATCGATGACCGATCATGTCATGGCCTGATGATGGGCAAGCTCCATGTGTTTATGGTCAGCTGATGGGCCGCAATGATCAATCAATCAATCACTTTTTGTGGTTTTCTCCTTTGATCAAGAAATGTGTTTCTGTTACGTGTTATTTGGTGACACTTTATTTCAACGCGGACAAAACGGATGATGCGTCATTTGCAAGATTAATTCGATATCTTTCTCAATACCATCAATATTATGTACGTAGCGCGAACTAAACGTATCTTAATGGGTTATTTTGCTAAAGGACACCGTAACTTCGCGGTTTTAGCTGTAGGACACCACATGAAGTGACTTTTGGGGAAAAAACACTTCCAAAAATTGAATATTTGCTGATGGACACCACACACATGTCAGATCTTCTATCTCTCTTCTCTCTCTATCCCCTCCTTCACTTCTCTCTATAGCGACGACGGCGGGCAGGCGAGGTCCGGCGGCAGGTGGGCAAGTGTGGAGCGGTTGCAGTGATGGGAGGGTGCCGACCGGATAGCAGGCGAGGTTCGGCAGTGGCAACTGCGTGTGGAGGAGCGGCGGCGCCGCCGGACAGCAACGGCTGCAGCGCACGGAGTGAGGAAGGAGAGGCGCCGTCGGCGGCCAGAGCCGTCGCCCTCCCGTCGCCGCAGCCGCTCCATCCTTGCCCTCCCGCCGCCGCCAACCGCCGGACCTCGCCTGCGCGCCGTCATTATTGACATGTGGGATAGAGAGAAGTGAAGGTGGGGATAGAAAGAGAAGAGAGATAGGAGAGCTGACATGTGGGTCTAAATGCGTTTCTGACATTTCACACGTGTTTCTCTATCATCTTCAACCGGAAATTATTACTTTACTGCGTGCGATGTCCATCAGCAAATATCCAACTGTCGGGAGTGTTTTCCCCCCAAAAGTCACTTCGTGCGGCGTCCTACAGCTAAAACTGCGAAGTCAGTGTCATATAGCAAAATTTTCCATTCTTAATTGGTTACATTTCTTATGGTAAACTTACTCAGTCGAATTCAAGTACTCCTTCCATTTCAAAATATAAGAATCTAGAATCAGATGGGACATTGTCTAGATTTATTGTACTAGAAAATATCCCATCCAGTTCTAGGTTCTTATATTTTGGGACGGATGGAGTAAGATGTTGACAGAAAGTATTAAAGAGATCCTGGTGTAAAAACAAGGAATCTTTATATTTACTTCCTCCGTTTCATATTATAAGATTTTCTAACATTGTCCACATTCATATATATATATATATATATATAAATGAATCTTGACATATATATGTGTATATCTATATTCATTGATATCTATATGAATGTGGACAATGCTAGAATGTCTTGTAATATGAAACTGAGGGAGTATAAAATATCAACAAATGGAAGAATAAATCTATCTATTATATTATTAAAACAGCTTTGAAAGAAGGCACCACGTTCGCGGTGGGGCTAGAAATTTTCACATTAATCGAAGAAAAAGAAAAGAAGAGTTAAAGTAGAAAAACAATTTAAAAATAGCTGAAATTCGGAATTAAAAGTGAGCAATATTGAATGAAGAGTCCATATAGAAACCCAATACGAGATTAATTAAAATTTGAAATAAAAATAAAATAGAATCCAAAATTAGCAAAAAAAAAGGAGAAGAGTCCAAGTAGTAGGAATACAATTTTAAAATAACTGAAATTCGGAATTAAAAATAAGAAAAATTGAAAGAAGAGTCCATACAAGAATCCAATATGAGATTAAAATTTGGAATAAAAATGAAAAAAATCGAAAGTAGGAAAAAGAAAAAAAAGAAGAGAGGAGTTCAAGTAGAAATACAATTTAAAATTAACTAAAATTCAGAATTAAATATAAACAATATTGAAATAAGAGTACATATAAGAGCATAGTAGATTAATTAAAATTCAGAATAAAAATAAAATAAAATCCGAAATTAGGCAAATTAATAAGAGAGTTAAGGTAGGAATATAATTTTGAAACAACTAAAATTAAAAAAAAAAATATCAAAAGAACATAATACAAAAAATAAAATAAATTCTGTAATTAGAAAAATAAAAATAAGATATTAACTAGGAATACAATTTATAAATAACTAAAATTGGTGAAAAAAAATAAAGGCTACTGAAAGAAAAGACCATCTGAAACACATGACGAGATTAATTAAGTAATAGGTCTATATAGGAGTAGAGTGGTGGCGGTTGATGGGACATCTAAAAACTATTAATAAAACATCAAATAGAATCAAAATGACAATTGAAAGGAAGGGCAACGTACAGGTCGTGAAGCAATCAGTCAAGGCGGTTGGCGGGACTTCTAGAAAGTAAGAAAATAAACTTCAATGATAATCACATTTGATTTTTAAAATCTCGATTACAATAAAAATGAGAGGCCACAGGCGGGTCGCATAGGAGTACAATGGCAGAGCCGCCAATGGTTGGTGGGTCTTCAAGAAAGTAAAAAATGAATTCCAACGATAGTTATATTTGATTTTTACAATCCTAATGACAATAAAGAGTATGCGGCGGACAGGTCGTACAGGAGTATAGTGGCAGCGTTTGACGGGATTTCTAAAAATTATAAAAAAATGAAACTCAACGAGACAATAAACTCTAAAAACTATAAGGTCCAATTTTTAAAGATTCGGGCTTCTAAAAAGTAAAAAGATAAACCCCAATGATAATTATGTTTGATTTTAAAATATCAATGACAATAAAGAAGGGCGGCAGCGAGCGAGCCGTAGAGGAGTACAGTGACAAAGTCGCTGATGTTTTGGCGGAACTTCTGGAAAGTAAAAAATTGAACCTAAACGATAAGTATGTTCGATTTTTAAAATAGCAATGAAAATAAAGAGAAGATGCAATGGACGGTCATAGAGGAGTATAATGGTAGCGTTTGACAGGACTTCTAGAAATTATAAAAAAAGAAGCCCAATAGGCCAATAAACTCTAAAACCTATAAGTTTATAGATCCAATTTTTAAAGGTTCCAAGGAGAATGAATAGAAACAGTGGTAGATCGAGCAAGCAAATAAAGAATAATATGATAAAAGTAAGGGGTAGCAACTGGTGTGACTTTTAAAAACTATAAAATTAAAAACACATGGATGATAAGGTTTGGTAACTATTTAATCTTAAGACAACGAGATAACTATTTAATAAATTTTAAATAAAATCATATTAAAAATATATAAATTTATATGGGTGCTAGCCACGCAATTGCGCGGGCCACCCAGTTGTGTTAATGATGGTGTCCCTCTGCCTAGATATAAAAAATCGGCGTAATTGTAGTGCTCCAATTTTTCTTACTAAGCAGAAAAATATAATCTTTAATATCTAGCACACGTGTTGATGTCGTCGTAATAAACTAAGTTCTTTGATATTGCCGTAATTTTCAACAAATAATTTATGAAATGAAAGAAAACAAATATAAACCTATGCCAATTGCCTGGCTAGTCATGGCTCATGGGGCGCACTTTCATTCTCGTGGGCGTATGCATGTGTGATGTGCGTGCGAGTAACTCCGTGTGATCAGCAAAAAAATACATCATTTTCTTTTCCTAATATAAAAATGCATTTTCTTTCCCTAATCTCCTGTGCATGTTGTCGTTCCATCTGACTTTTTGGATGCTTAACGAAATTTGACAGTGGACAGAGGAGAAGCCCAGTATGTCAAGAGGCCTACACAACCAGCCCAGATGGGCTCAGGGCCCAGTTGACAAAAGCCCAATAGGCCAGATGCGCGCGCCGCCGCCATATTCCAGGGCCCATTTGACATAGTACTGTAGGCCCTACAAGACAAGGCGACAACCCTTCTCAGCGCTCCCTGTCCTAGTCACACCCCCACTGCCTATAAGCCTACCTTACCATTTCGATCACATCGGCAGAAACGGCTACTTCTTCTCTCCCCCCTCCAATTCCGTTCGAATCCACACGCCGTCCTCCTCCTCCTCCTCCTCCTCGCCACCACCTCGCCCCTCTCCACGCGGCTCGCCATGGTGGCCTCGCCTCCTCCTCCTCATCCTACTCCGCCGGAGCAGGTCGGCGACGGCGTGGAGGCCCGAAGCTGCGCCTCGCCGACGCCCTCCCTCCGCAGGAAGGGCTCCCCCAACCGCAGCGGCGGAAGCGCCCGCAAGGTTCGCCCTCCAGATCCCCGCCCCCCCTTACCTCCGCGTCCGACGCTGCCGCGAGCCCGCGCGGGCTCGAATTTTAGGTCGTTGGGTTTCGGCTGGGACTCCGCGCGAACTGCAGGAGTAGAACTCGAGCGGATCTGTAGGTCTGTTGGTTGGGTGGGGGGTACTGCGTAGCGATTTTGGTTTTGGATTTCGGATCTCCACGGGGAGTTTTGGGCGGAGTTTGGGTGTCATGCGTGTTCCGTTTAATTTCTTAGAACCTAGTGTTTGGGGACCTTGATTTCCCTGTATTTGGTTGGTGCTCTGCAATCTGTTATCTGTGAATCGAAATTTCTCATCATTTCTGGTGTATCCAACCACATAAACTCCGGTATATAGCAGTTTTACTATGCATGATTTGTCCTATTATTATATATGGATGCTATAACTTCGATCCTGTTGGACCTTAGTTTAGCGAAAGTGCGTGCAGTAGCACTTGATCGCTGTCCCTAATGTGATTTCGTTGATGTGCAGTAGCATTAGTTTGTTAAAGTGATTTCTCAACCTGGACTTGGAGTTGCTAAAAACACTAATTAAAGGTTGGTTCCATTTACGGGTTTGCGTGAATGGACATGGGCAACTCTTTGTTTAATTGTTTTCGTCAGTTCAAGTTGATGCGCACCATACCCTGATGTGAGCTCTGTTGGTGGTTCGTGCATTTGTACTTGCCTCTTTCATTCAATTTATTTATGTGGTTATATTATTCTTGTTCTGCTCCTTAGTCCGATCTATACTCTGTAATATGATCCAGGTTTACTCTGTACTCCATAATATAGATATTTCTATAGACGGGTTGGATGGAGCTTGACAGCTAAGTAGACATCAAAATTATTGTCAACGGAAGAAATCAAACACCAGTATGCTCCTTTCAGACAATTCAGTGTGGCAACTGTTTTTTTTTTTGTCGATTAGTATTATCCAAAGTATAGCTACTATTACACAATTGATTATAGTTTCAGTATATGTGACCATTGAAGTGTTGGGTTAAGCTTCCATAAGTTAACAGAGGTATCTCTGATAGACCAAATGCTCTTAGAATGGCACGCAATAATCATTCCAATGATTTGGTACAGTAATACTCCTCCATTTTTGTTTATTTGACGTTTGAACTAACCAACGAGACAACGATACAATGAACAACAGAGGGAGTATATAGCAAGGATTACAACATGGTTCAGTTGGAAAGCTTACCTACGAGAATCAATCTAATTCAAATGAGCACAATAAGTAGGAGGTCACCATGTGTGCTGCTGGTGAGAGCAGCCTAGCACACATAGCATGGGCTGCCATATACCCTCTTACCATTCCTTTTCTTAAGGAATCATCATTCCGTATTTTTTGGGTGACATAACATCTATGTTCTGTTAAAAAGCATCCTTTCATATGCTCTGTTTCCTGCTTGTAAGCATTCTTTTTATGTGGATTTAGCTACATCAATCTTCTCATTTGTTTTCTGCAGAGTTCAAGCTCAAGAGAATTTGGAAGTTCAATTTTGAATTCTGTAAATAAATCAGCATCCCAATTCAAGAAGTCAATTAATCGTAAAAGTGGTTCCCCTATAGATTGGTTCCCTCGGAAGAAGACTGAACCATACTTGAAGAGAAAGATAAAGCGTCTTCAGGTACTTCATGAATTGTAACAAATGTGCCAACACTCTTCCAAGAACTATTTCAGCATGGAATTTTTAAATAATGATCATGCCCTCTGAGCATTGAATAGATTTGAACTTTCAGTATCAAATTTATTGCTGCCTCGATTTTGTTCTCTTGATAAGAAGAGGGAAATTACCATTGAAAATTATTGTAGCATCAGAATTGAAGTTGTTTCTTTTTGTGTATTTTAGGAGAGCAATGGCATGACTGCATCTCTTGATGAGACTTTGGGAAGTGCCAATCCTCACTACACGCGAATGGCAAGGGAGAAAATTGCAGCTAGAGAAGCAGCCAGAAAGGCAATGGAAGCTCGCAAAGCTGCCATGGTTGAAGCATCGTGGTGCAGAATTCTTCATGCAGCAAGGTGAAAATCATGGTTATCTTATTCCATCATGTCCAGCCTTGTGTGTATTTTCCTTGATACACTCATTTGTTCTGATTTTTATTCTACTTTTCAACAGGATCCAAAAGAAGGACGCTGAAGAAGTTATGGAAAAGGCCAAGTTTCGGGCAACTGAAGCATTTGAAGAAGCTAGAGTAATAGGCGTAATGATGTACGACAGACCAGATTGTTCAAGTCAGCAGTATGAGGTGGAATCATCGTCACAGACTGGGGGACGATCAACTCATAAGGTCACTGCTTCCTTTCAGACTGGTTTTGAGGTTGATATGGAGGTTGCCGCTGCAGTTAAGAAGGCATTTATTCAACTTGCGAATTCTTCTATTTCATCAAACAAAGAAGAGTTTAAGGAGCTTTTATGGAAAATTAGCCAAAATCCTGATGTAACTGAGATTGATGCAAATTCTGAAGATGAGCAGCATCAGGGGGACTGTAACAGTGAAGACAAAAGGAATTTGAAATTCAATAAAGAAACCTTGGGAACAGGCATCTTTCCATCTGACTTTGACAATACTAACGTTCAGCAATCCAATGATCTTGTGAACATTATGCTGGAAAGGCTAAAAGCTCTTCATGAAGATGAACTTGCTTCTCTGGCAGTTATTGTTGCCACTTCTGGCTTAAATGCTGTACTTCAAAGTGACAGGGGCAAATATCAGGAAACTGAGTCTGTGAACAGCTTTACATCACAAAGGGCACACTCAAGAAGATATTCCACTGCAGCTAGCTTTGTTGATGTCCTACAACCAAAGAAAGAAGTCACATCTGAGTTACCAAGTCTGGACAAGTTCTTGGTCAAGCATCTTTCAAAGCTTGAAAAAGAAGTTCACGAAGCAAGAGAAGCAGGTAGAAAAGCCTCTTCAGTAAATTCTTGTGCACAAGGTGCTCAAAGACAGATTACAGGCAGGAATCCAAAGGCAACAGATTCTGCTTCAGATCTGAGCAGCATTCTTGTGAAGCACGTGTCGAAGCTTGAGAAGGAGATTCTAGAAGCGAAGAAGAATAATAACACACGCATTCAACTCTTGGAAGAAAGCTGCAAGAAAGTAGAAGCGCATGTGGAGAAAGATGCCAGCAAAGAATCTGAATTTTACAATGCTCAGTCAGAATCCTTCTGTAACAGTGGTTCCGTGGGGAGTTGTAATTCCAGGGAATCATATGAAAAAAGCAAGCACGGCCGAGATTGTTCACAAGACAAAGAGAATAAAATTTTATTTTCACATCAATTACCACCGTCTGGTGCAAAAGGTAAACAGGGAGGAAAAAGATTAACTAGGATTGAAGCTGCAAAGCTGGAAGCACTTAATTCTTTCTGTACTAAAGATGGCAATGCATTTGATGTTGGCCTTGATAAGATCTTAATCAGGCCAATCCATAGATTGGAGAGGGAAAAGAAGAAAGCACTCGAACATGGACAAACCAATGTGCAGAAAGATCCACAGAAGAATGTTGACCGCACAATTGTGACAGGGAGTTTAGATGAGATCTTAGTGAAGCATGTGTCAAGGCTAGAAAGGGAGAAAATCGATTATGAAAGGAGGAATGCACTGGGGGAAGGACTGACCAATGTGCCACATGATCAGCGAAAGCATGGTAACAATGCTACAGCATCTGAGAGTTTGGATCAAGTCTTAGTGAAGCATGTGTCAAGGCTAGAAAGGGAGAAAATTGATTATGAAAAGAGGAATGCACTGGAGGAAGTACTGACCAATGTGGCACATGATCAGCGAAAGCATGATAACAATGCTACAGCATCGGAGAGTTTGGATCAAGTCCTAGTTAAGCATGTCAGTCGTTTGGAAAGGGAGAAAGTTGAATATGCAAAGAGGAATACATTGGGAGAAAGAACCAGTGAACAGAACCATCAGGAAAGGCACAGTAACACTAACATAGCATCTGATAGTTTAGATCAGATCTTAGTTAAGCATGTCTCCAGACTTGAAAAGGAGAAGATGGAGCATGGAAAGAGCGGTGATATGATCTTTCTAAAGAAGAATGACTCAAAATGCACAAATGAAGAAGCAGATCTGTCTGACATCCTTGTCAAGCGTTCCATGAAGCTTGAGCAAGCCAAGCTGGCTTCTTCTGCTGCTGAAGAAACACTGACAGGCAGCTTTAATCCAGTCCAAGAGCGCAGAAGGGCACGTGAGAAGGAACTTATGGATGCATGGGGAGGAGTGGGTCTAGGGAACTCCATGAAGCCTCATCTCTCGAAAATTGAGAAGGACAAGGTAATTCTGTATTACTCATGCATTATATGAAGTTACTAACCTATCATCTATAAAGTATAAACATGTCAAAAGAACCATGGCTCACAATGTCTCCACTGGATTTCTCAGGTTGCGTGGAGAAAAGCTGAGGAGGAACAGAAGCAGATGTGTGCTGCAAATGAGCTATAACCATAGCTCACAATATTTCTACTGGATTTTACTGTATGTACTGTTTGTTGTTTCACATATACACTTCCAGCTCGGAGGAGAGAGCATGCCGTCGTCATATTCTCTATGCCTGTATATTCTACTACTGGTAAAGTGAACGTTAATTCTGGGATCTTCATATCAGAAAACAAGAAGATCAGCAACTTTCTGCCAAACATTTGTATCTTTGATATTTCTCTCCTTAGCTTCTATACACCCACTATGTCGTGCACTAGCTTGGCATATCTTGCGTGCTTATCCGCGGAAGCATATGCGAGGGATCAACATCCAGGGATTACAGGCTTTCTCTCCCAACGCCGCAAAGTTTGACGTTGTCATCATCTGATCATCAGGTTAATAGATGGGTACCCTGTCCCTGTTAGATATGATCTAGCCTATTCTATCTCTTTATCTCTGCTTGCTGTCTTGTAGTCCACAATTACTGCTATTTTTCATGCTCTGTTTTTCTTGCTGCAATGCATGGACAAGGGACAATTTCACATGAAATTGACTATGTTTGAGATAAGGATGCTAAGGTGATATATAAAAGCTACAGTCACTATTGTGGGTGATATAGATATTTGTTTATCGATCACTGTCGTATAGATTCTGTTTATTATTGAATGTCTGGTTCCTTTAGTTGAGCATAAGTAAACCGATACTTATTTCTTGCGTATTCGTATGCTTCATCAGAGATAGGGACGAATCAGCTGCCAAATGAACCTCCATTTATTTATGTGTGTTATCTCCATTTCCATTCTCTCTTTGAGATTCTTCGCGTTGACAACTGTTTTCATCCTTTTGATTCAACTAACTGACATCGGTTGCCTTTGCACTTATCCCTTGTTAGACAGTAATATCTTTTTTTTAGCAGTGTTTTGCATCACTGCAAAACCCAATGGTCAGGCATCTAGTTGCCTGTTTAAAGCTTTTCACTGAAGCCATTACTTTTCCTCCAGACACCTTTTGTGCATGCATGCCTGCATGCCTTCCCTTCTGCAGTTCTGTTCTCTGCTCTGAAAGTTTGGTGAAAAGTTGAATCATGGAAGCGAGTCTTTTACAGAGTTTGGACCACATAATAAGGATTAATCTATGGGGCTTTGAATGATCTTCAGTTAAGTAGTACTGGTAAGTGGACAAGTCTACCAGGACCTAGAGCTAAGTGTCATTGTTAATGGAGTTTTTGCCTCGCAAATGCAGGTATGCAAAACCCTGGAGCATACTTTGCCACTGTTTGCCACTACCACTGATGCACTGATTCATGCTGAACCCTGTGTTTACTTTCTACGGCAACTCACTTTTCCGCTGGTGCTCCTGCTTTCCCATGCACACGCATTTGGTAAATCATGAGGGGGAGGGATTTCATCCTTTGAGTAGACATCCATTCATTCCTCACATAAATAGTCATAATAAAATAATAAAATGGAATAATATGAGATATATCATTTTACAAACATCCAATGTTAAATTCGACTTTTACAAATTATAACAAAAGGAGTAATCTAAACTTTTTTTATAATGGATAGAAATATGATCTCTATATCCATAAGCGGATATAGAATCAAGGAACAATTTAAAGTGAAACTAGTATACATACATTTACACTAGTATTTGTTATTTTTGTTATAATTTGTAGGATTCAAATTTAAACTTGCATGTTGTGGAGTAATATATCTTATATTAATCTATCTTATCAATCTTTTTTTTAAAAAAATGATGATTATTTAGGTGCATGAAAGAAACGAGGAAAATGTCTCCTCGAATGATGAAAATCATGATATCAAGCATGTGTGATCAAGTGAGAAATTAACCATTGTTGATCTGATTAACCATCAAACACTCATTGATTAGCAATTTAGCAAAGCTAGCACGCTACCTACTGCCAAGTACTGAATCATCTCATGCCATCCTAAGGCAGAAGAGGTTACATCTTACAACCTTGCAAATTAACCTCTACAAGGATCGATCATAATATCATCATATCTAATCATCTCATCATGCCATCCTAAGGCTGAGCCGCTGCTGCAGCCATGGCGCTGCCGCCGCCGCCGCCGCCGTCGACCCGTCATGTAGCACATCGAATGCCATTGCTCTCGGGCACGGCGGCGGCTGCCGGAGCGAGCCGTCGGAGTCGGTCGACGACGACGTCGACGTCGATGTCGCCGTCGTGAGGCTCCCGCCCGAGCAGTTGGACGTGAAGGGGCTACTCTCCCGCCGCTTGTTGTTCCTCCTGCCGGCGGCGCCTCCGCCGCCGACGGCCAGTGTCAGCGCTAGCTCGTCTTCCCTGGACGACGGCGGCGGCGGCGGCAGCGGCGTCGCTTGGCCGCCGGCGTCGGCCACGACGATGTACTCGTCGGCGGGGAGCTGCAGGTTGAGCGCCCGGCGGCGGGTGTGCTGCTTGCGCCGCTGCCGCCGCCGGCAGGTTAGCTCCGGCGGCGACCTGTTGAGGTCGCTCATCAGCTGCTTCTGGACGCGGTACAGCCGGTGCAGCTCATACACCTTCAGAGGCATCGAGACGAAAAGAATTTTGTTGGTTTTGTTTGGTAGAATTTTAGAGTTTTTTCTTTTTGTTCTTTGCAGTGATGATGATTGTGATCTTTGGTTTGCGTTTGATCGATATATATCTAACCTGCTGCTTGAAAGTCTCTTCATGCTTGAGCATGGCCATCTTCATGACCTCCATGTCGCACTGCCTCACAAGCTTCTCCATCTGCACCATCATCTTGAGCTTCACTTTGTTCTTGTTATGTTCTTGTCCTTGACTGAGATCAGCAAGCTGATGGTACTACCCTGCAAAAAAAATAAAAAAAGAATAAAAAAACAGATGCAAAATGCAGGCTTAGAAAGGAGCTAGCTAGCTTTTCAGTTGCTGAAACACATGTACTCGAACTCTGAGAAGAATCAATAGATAGATCATAATAACAAGTGCAAATTAATCAGTTGCAAGATGCTCTGATGCTGGTGTGTATATCTCAATGCATAAAAAGGTGAAGTTGTGCAGTTTTCAGAACACACACTGAAGCAACCACAAAGATCACAACACACAACAGAAAGAGCTGTGCCCCCCTGAACCTACCGCCCTATTCAGCAAGAAAGCATCCAAATATATGCTCTTGTCCCTTCCCTTGTTTCTCCTCTTGTCTTCGTCTCTTTAACCTACTAGATTCCTCAGGGGATTTACACTGGCAATGAGACAAAGAAACAAAAGGGGAGAGAGAGCAAAGCAAAGATGTTGCCACTGCTGAAACTGAGAACTTGAGAAGGGCTTTGGTTGGGGGTATGGGGGTTTATAAACATTGCCTCTAGAGAAGTGTGGTAATGAGAATGCAAAGAAAAAAAAATGCAAGAGATGTGTTGCAATGCAATGGAGTGCAATGATGGCTCAAGAGAACATCTCACTTGGCACCTTTTCTGCATGCCAAACAAAGGGGATGGCCTATAGCCAATGGCAATTTGGGGGACCTTTTGGGGGTGCATCCTTTGCATGAGATGCTCCTCCCAGAGCAGACAAGTTGGCAGGGAGCCTAGGTTTAGGCCCTGACCCACACCCACAGGGTATGGCCCGTACAGTTTCCTCTCTTCTGTGTGGCCATGCTAGTTCTCCCTAGTAGCTGCAGTGTACCTCACTGACAGTACCATGTACGTGTACATGTGCACTCTTCCAGGTCCCATGATCGTCTTGCTGCATGATTTGACGAGACTCCTTTTCAACCATGAAATTTTGGGGGATTTCCGCGAGAGGCAATATTCCTGTAAAAAGAGAAGATCATATAAATATGGATCTGATTGGTTTACTAATTAATCCTCTTTCTCAAACCTGATCATTACTCTAATTATTGAGGGCCTAAAACTTGACCACTCAGAGCGCGCAGCTGTATTCTTTCAAACGGGTTGGGAATCCTTTCTTCTCCTTGCAAAACAAAACAATAGATTAGCACATAATTACTCACTCCATCCTAAAATATAGCAACTTTTAACTATGAATTTAGACACACAGTTGTCCAGATCCATAACTAAAAATACTTATATTTTGGAACGGATGGAGTAATTAAGTAGTAGCTAAAAAATTGAAAAATGAAACAATATGATTTATACAAGAATTTTCTAAAAAAAATTGAAAAAAATGCATCATTTAGCAATTCAGAAAACGTGTGTGTATAAAAATAAGGAAGGGAGAGAAAAGAACACACCACCCGTGCATATTATTGATTTCCAAACGAATTCATTGGCGCAAGTTCTGATCAAATTCACCAGAGAAATTAATTTCTTCCTCAAGTCCTCAGGATCACCTACAGTGCATATATACTCCATATACTTAAGTATACTTAATTAGAAGTACTGAGTGCTGATATAACTTCTAGATTGCTCTTTTTCTTCTCTCTCTACTATGACGAGATCTACAATGATCACATGCTTTGACCGTTTTTATATATGACATGTATCATATATAGCGAGGCTGGACCGTTAAGTTTGGACCATGCATGCGTCAAACTGATCAATATGCATGTATGCACCCCCACACGTAAACAGTAGGCAGTGTCAGCACTGAGAAATCCACCGACTAAATCATTGTCACGTACACACAGTACAGTGGCACACAGCTGCTGCTTGATGGTCAGATTTACGGTATGAGTTGGTCAGAATTCAGAAGCTCGTCAGTGTACCATCCCCTTCCGAGTTTTCTCCCTTATCAAACAGATGCCAATTTGTATTGCGCGTGGTCCAATTTCAAAAATCTGGAGTCGTTTGGTTATATATGTGCAAAAGATTGCAAGGATTTGATACGTGAAAATGATATCGGTAGATAAATCTGTCATGAAAACGCCTTATTGTATATATAATTAAATAAATAGGACGTATTTTACCTCTGTTTTTGTTAGCATGCTGTTTACAATGTTAAACATTATGTATTTTGTGTAGAATTTTTCTATATAGAGGTTGTTTTAAAATACCAAATAAATCCATTTTGAAAGTTTGAAATAAGTAAAATCAATCAATCGTCTTTTAATTTAATGGTTTCTCGTTTTAGGTGCCTGTCCGTAGGCCTTGTTTAGTTCGCGAAAAAAAAAATAGGTATCACATTTGATGTTTGATCAGATGTCGGAAGGGGTTTTCGAATATGAATGAAAAAAATAATTTCATAACTCGCCTGGAAGCTACGAGACGAATCTTTTGAGCCTAATTAAGCCGTCATTAGCACATGTGGGTTACTGTAGCACTTATGGCTAATTATGAACTAATTAGACTCAAAAAATCTGTCTCACGATTTTCATGCAAACTGTGCAATTAGTTTTTATTTTTAACTAGGAAGGTGGCCCACGCGATGCGCGGGCATCCGTACTATTGTAACGTAATATTATAGTTTCTTTAGAAATTATATCTTATAAGGACAAACTATATATCGGGCATATCTGAAAACCATTGATTGACTTAGAAGATAGATCAAGGTCATGTGACTTTTGAATTGACTTTTGGACCGAGTGAGTAAATATCATGTATACCATTTGAACACATACCGTACAATATTGCTACAAGTAAAAAATGCGATAGCAAGGAACTCAAAGTTATTATGATCGAATCGTCTCATGAAGATGCATGATTTAGTGACAACCAAATTAAGATAGATTAACGGTTGGATTGTTTTTCTCTTCGTAGAAGTTGAAATTTTTCATATTCTTTTCCAAAGTTTTAAAGAATTTTTGTTAGGACACAAATTGCAAAATTGCTTGGTTGGGTAGTGCAAAATATCAGCAATTGTTTGAAGCTATTGTTTTTTCTTTTTCGCATGTTTGATAGTTTTCTTCGAAACACCTAAGCTATCTCAGGTACGATGCTCCATCATACATGCAGAAGATAAATGTGCACACGTGCGAGGTCTTTAGAAGTTTTTTTTTATTTTTACAAAAGATAGATATGACAGTCTTGTTAATAGGTCCTTAATAGGTCTAGTTAATAGGTCCATTAGTTTAAGTGAAAACCGACATCAAAATATTTTTATTAAAAATAGTATAAAATATTAGGTTCATTAATTAATGTAAAGAAATAGTTAATATAGACCGTAAATTGGTAATTTACTGGTACATAATATAATTACGTAACATCTATATTAAACAATGTGTTTTTAAAAATTTGATATAAAATAATTGTTTGATATAATAGGTACTACCTTCATCCCAGAATATAAGCATTTTTAGAGTTGGACACGGTTATTAGTGAAAGGTTGTGATTGGTTGGGAAAGAATGTTGGTGGAGAAGTAGTTATATTTTGAGATAAATCTTGAGGGCTAAAAGTTGTTATATTTTGGGACGAAGGGAGTACATCGGTTTAAGTAAAGAATATTATATTGTTAATATAAAGGGTAAAATTATATAGTTATATAAAATTTATTTTCAAACATTGTGGAGCTAATTTAGACATATATATGATGATATATATAATCTATGTTTATAAAGTTATAATTTCTTAAAATTTATTTTCACTAATAATAATTGCAATTTTGTCTATACATGGAGAAGAGAAGGAAGAAGAAGGAAACAAATGTACGTTTTTAATGATATAAGTAATTTATATTTTTATGACTTTTGCCACTTTATCTTTTTAAATGTATGTTACAGTTGTATATGTATTTTCGGTTTTTTTACAAGTCATACGTACATACCTTTCTCTCGTCGGTGCGCTAAGGGAGATTCTGAGATAGATTATTAATAGGATTTAATCTAATGGTCCGAGATAACGGATCCATCAATTTAAATAAAAATTGATGGCTAGATATTTTAGTTTTTTTCTCACATTTTCTAGAATTTGTTTTCTAATTTATTAGAGTGTATTTTTACAACTTAAAATATAGTTAATATGAATATTGATTTTCTATCTCATCTAGCCAAAAAGGGAAAAAAAGAGGAAATAACAAAGAGGGTACGTACATATGTACGTGCACATCCATGAAGAGATAGATTCTTTTTCCAGATGAACGTAATTTCAAAATCTTAAGATAGATCTATGTTAACTAAATAATAGAAGAAGTTAGCTTAAAATGAAGAGTTGGAGGGTGGCCAGAGGGAGAGAGTACGTACTCGCGGATGTATAGTGGAGGGTGAGGCTACCGGATTTTTGAGTGTCAGAGAGATCTAATGGTTATCCCCGCAAAAAAAATCTAATGGTTAAAATTAATGGATTAACCAATTTAATAGAAAATTATAGATTTTTTCTAATTTATTATAAAGCCATGTGACAACTTAATTTGGAGCGTTTTTAGAGCATTTACATTATACATGCCGTTAGGAGTCTCACGTGACGACTTGAGAGCATCTATAGGAAGCTTAGATGTTAGTGGCCTTCTAATCTAGGCCATTCATTTTCTTTAAAATCCATGCAGTTTTTTAAAGGAGGGTAACATATGTACACCGGATATTCTTTTTGGCTTTTTTTAGTACTTATGTATTTATATGTACGTGGGATTTTTTTTTGGGAGGAATTATTTTATAATAGATGTGATCTAATGCTATAAAATAACTGAAAATCGAAGATTGGAATTTATAAAATTTCCTATTATAATTACATAATTTTTATACGAAGACGAATGATCTAATATACACCCAAATAGTGTCAATAGCATCAAAAAGTAGAGGTTGTTGGGTAAAAATGGGTTAAATGGGGGAGTAAAAGAAAGATGGGCACGTACCTTTCCTGTGTACAAATGGGATGAAGCAGTTGTACATACATGCACGCAGGTGAGATGAGAGGGAGGGACTAACTCTTGTTTTAACCTAATCTAATGTTCTAAAATATGGACCCGCCAATTTACATCTCACGTAGTAAAAAAAATTATTCGGTGAATAATGGAGTACTTTTTGGCTTTCTTCAGGTGAATAGTACTATATATTTATACATACATAGGATATTCTTTTTGATTTGGAAGATATTTTTTTTATAGATATAATGTAATGTATAAAATAACTTGTCCATCTGATTTAAGTGAAAATCGAGGATCAAATATTTTATTTTATTCTCAGAATTTCCTATTATAACTATACAATTTTTATACTAAAATAAATGATCAAATATACGCTCAAATGTCAATGGCATAATTAAGAATGAGGTGATATAAAAATATTGTAGGGTATTCTAGATAAAATTAAATAAAAAAGTCTGAAGGGTGGGGGAGTAAAAAAAGGTGGGGCACATATATTACCCGCGTGCAATCGGTCAGGATGAGGGAGGCGTACGTTTATCTAGATAAAAACTTGTTTTTTAATCTAATCAAATCTAATGGTCTGAAATAATGGACCCACCTTTTTAAGTGAAAATCAAGGGCTAGATATTTCTCATATATTAAAACGCCACGTGGCAATCTAGGAGCGTTTTTAGAAATCCCATGTGACGGCTTGAGAGTGTTTG